TATTTTTAGTAATATTTTAGGAGTCTGTTTTGTTTAGGAAACAAATCCGATTTGATCTCAGATTTGACCGGTGGACTTTCCTATTCATAAGGAGTCTTTTTAGGAGTTTTAATGTTTTAGGAATTCTTTACCATTTTTGGTAAGTTGAGAGTCCTTGTAGGAATTAGAGTCCTTGTAGGAGTCTTGTTTCTTTTTCTATTTAAGAAGAGTCTTGTAAGCCCTAGAGGCATAACTTTTGATTAATAAAATTTCGTTTTTCCTCAATATTTCTTCGTGGATTCGAAGCTCTTCGTGGATTCGAAGATCGTTCTTTGTGGATTCAGAGAACACCCTTGGTGGATTCCGAGGTTACAACTTCCGCGCTGCGTCAATTGGTATCAGAGCCTTATTCCTCCGATCCGATGGCAGGTGATGAAGCCCCTATCTCTCGAACTGAGTTTGACGTGCTAAAGGCCGATGTCAATCAGATGAAGACTGTCGTGGAGCGAATAGCAGTGGCAGTAGAGCGTCTGGAGATTGCAGGAGATCGAAATCGCGTTGATGGTCGCCAACGACGTGAACCGACTCCGTATGAAGATTCCGACAGCGAGGAAGATCACTATGCACCCCCACGCCGCGGTGTTTATCGCAGAGACCGACGACAAAGGGATAATTATGACGCTGGAGGTTTCAAGATGAAGATGGATCTGCCATCTTTCAACGGGCAACTGCATATTGAAGAGTTCCTCGACTGGATTGCAGAAGTAGAGAGGTTCTTTGAGTATATGGAGATCCCTGAAGAACGTAAGGTTAAATTGGTGGCCTACAGACTCAAAGGTGGAGCTTCGGCTTGGTGGGAGTCTGTTTGTCTGAATCGATCTCGTCAAGGAAAGCCGAAGGTCGATAGGTGGGAAAAGATGAAGAAGCTACTGAGAGCCCGTTTCTTACCAAGTGATTATGAACAAGTTTTATTTGGGCAGTATCAGAATTGTAGGCAAGGTGGAAGAACTGTGGATGAGTATACGCAGGAGGTCTATCGACTGTCATCCCGCAACAATTTACACGAGAGCGAGGCGCAGCAGATGTCTCGATACATTGGGGGATTAAGGATAGCGATTCAGGATCGTGTATCTTTGCAGCAGACCTATACATTGGCAGACACGGTTAGCCTAGCCGAGAAGGTGGAGCGACAGCTTGGACGAAATAGTAAAGGATCGTGGGCAGCTTTCGACGGTTTGCGCACAAACTTTAATCGTGGTGGGAATAAACAGTCTCAAACTGTTCCTGATCAAGATTCTACGACAGAGAAGGGCAAGGGGCCAGCGACAACCGCAGCGAAGAAGCCTACTCCAGCGAACCCTTATGCCAAACCTGACCCGATCAAGTGTTATAGATGCGGACAGCCTGGTCATCGTTCCAATCAGTGCCCTAAAAGAGGTACTGTCAACATAGTGGATCATGAAGATGAAGTTACAGACCGTGACGAAGCTGAAGACTACGATGGTGGATTGGATCCTGATGATGATGGGGAACAACTCTCATGTGTTGTACGGCATCTATTATTGGCCCTAAAGACAGAAGATCCCCCACAGAGGCATAACATCTTCCGCACGAGATGCACTGTGAAACAGAAGATCTGTGATGTCATCATTGATAGTGGGAGCAACGAGAATATTGTCTCTCGACGCATGGTGGAGAGGTTAGGATTAAAGACAGAGAAGCATCCCGCCCCTTACAAGATTGGTTGGATTCGAAAGGGTAGCGACGTACAAGTCGATGAAGTGTGTCGGGTATCCTTTTCCATTGGCCGAACTTATATCGATGAGGCGTTATGTGATGTAGTTGAGATGGACGCATGTCATATCTTATTAGGCAGGCCATGGCAGTTTGATGTTGATGCCACACATCGGGGAAATGATAATGTTTATATATTTAAGAAGGATGGTCGGCGAATTGTGCTCAAGTCTCTAACTGAGAAGGGGCCTATCAATACCAATATGGCTAAAAAGAAGAATTTCTTGGTCGTTGACAATGAAAACTTTATGAAAGATGTGAAGCAGTCTGATGAGATTTATGCCCTAGTAGTTTCGGGAAAAGAGGAGTCTGCCACTGACGAATTTCCACTAGAAGTACAGACCCTCTTACAGCAGTTTAATGCAGTTATGCCTGATGATCTTCCTTCTGAATTACCCATGCTTAGGGACGTTCAACATCAGATTGACTTTATCCCTGGATCTCGACTACCAAATCTGCCACACTATAGGATGAGTCCGAAGGAAGGAGAGGTTTTGCAGAAGCAGGTGGATGATCTCATCCAGAAGGGCCTTATACGACCTAGCATGAGTCCGTGTGCAGTGCCAGCACTACTGGTCCCAAAGAAGAACGGAGAGTGGCGTATGTGTGTGGACAGTAGGGCTATCAACAAGATTACAGTGAAGTATAGATTTCCTATTCCACGCTTGGAAGACATGCTAGACATGTTATCTGGTTCAAAAGTGTTATTCAAGATAGATCTCAAGAGCGGCTATCATCAGATTCGGATTAGGGAAGGAGATGAGTGGAAGACTGCTTTCAAGACAAAAGAAGGCCTGTACGAGTGGTTAGTCATGCCTTTTGGTCTTTCTAATGCCCCTACCACTTTTATGCGATTGATGAATTAGGTATTAAAACCCTTTATCGGCAAGTTCGTCATAGTTTACTTTGATGATATCCTGATTTATAGCCAGAGTGAGGCTGCACATCTGGACCACTTGAGGGAGGTACTAACAGTTTTGTAGGAGAATAAGTTGTACATCAATCTGAAGAAGTGCAACTTCATGACCAGTAGCCTCGTATTTCTAGGCTTTGTTGTTAGTGAAGAGGGTATTCATGTTGATGAAGAGAAGGTTCGTGCTATTAGAGATTGGCCTACCCCGAAGACTGTCAGCGAAGTTCGTAGTTTTCATGGCCTAGCAACATTTTATAGGAGATTTGTAAGAAATTTTAACAGCATTGTAGCACCTATAACTGAATGCATGAAGAAAGGGAAGTTCAATTGGGGGGAAGAAGCAGATCGTAGCTTTGCACTGATCAAGGAGAAGTTGTCCACCGCACCTGTGCTTGCACTTCCAGATTTTCAAAAAGTCTTTGAAGTTGATTGTGATGCGTCCATCATAGGAATTGGTGGTGTTTTATCGCAGGAAGGGCGTCTAGTTGCCTTTTACAGTGAGAAACTCAGCGAAGCTCGGCAGAAGTGGACCACATATGAGCTGGAGTTATATGCCATAGTTCAGTCTTTGAAGCATTGGGAGTACTATTTGATCTCGAGAGAGTTTCTGCTTCACACTGATCATCAGGCTTTGAAGACCCTTAATAGTCAGACTACCATCAATCGTATGCATGCTCGTTGGATTACATATCTACAGCGTTTCACCTTTGTTTTGAAACATAAATCCGGGCAGCAGAATAAGGTGGCAGATGCACTCAGTAGGAGAGCTGGATTGTTGGTAACTTTGAAGGCTGAAGTGATTGGGTTTGAGTACCTTATGGAGCTGTATGCAGAGGATGAAGATTTTAAGAAGATTTAGGACGACTGTCTTCAAAATAAACCAGTCAAAGACTTTCATATTCAGGATGGTTATCTATTTCATGGCGATCAATTGTGCATACCCCAGAGTTCGCTAAGAGAGCAGATAATTCGAGACCTTCATGCTGGCGGACTAGGAGGACATTTGGGACGTGATAAAACAATTGCAGCAATTGAAGAACGATATTACTGGCCTCAGTTAAAGAAGGGAGTAGAAAAATATGTGCGGCGTTGTCCAGTTTGTCAAGTTGCTAAGGGATAGTCTCAGAATACGGGATTGTATACACCTTTACCTGTTCCTGATGCACCATGGCATGATATCTCTATGGACTTTGTGTTGGGACTGCCTCGAACCCAACGAGGCATGGATTCTGTTTTTGTTGTGGTTGACAGGTTTTCGAAGATGGCACACTTTATTCCATGCAAGAAGACTGCGGATGCGAGCAACATTGCCAATCTTTTCTTTCGGGAGATAGTTCGTCTTCATGGAGTGCCAAAATCCATCACATCCGATAGAGATTCCAAGTTCTTATCACACTTTTGGAAGACTTTGTGGCAGAGATTCAACACTTCTCTCAAGTTCAGTACTGCCTATCACCCTCAAACAGATGACCAAACTGAAGTGGTCAATCGCACCCTCGACAATCTTCTTAGATCTATTTCTGGCGATCGACCAAAACAGTGGGATCTTGCTTTGGCACATGCTGAATTTGCCTACAAATGTATGAAGAGTCGGACTACAGGCAAGGCACCCTTTGCAATTGTGTATGGAAGGCTTCTGAATCATTATCTTGATCTAGCCCCGCTGCCTAAACTTCCTGGACAGAGTGTTCCTGCAGATCATATGGTTGAAAAGATACGTGCTATCCAGCAGGAGGTGAAGGAAAAGATAGAGCAGTCTAATGCTAAATATAAAGCTGATGCTGATCAACAAAAGAGGAAGAAAGTGTTTGAAGAAGGAGACATGGTGATGGTGTTTCTGCGAAAAGAACGTTTTCCCGTGGGCACCTACAACAAGCTGAAGAATAAGAAGTATGGTCCATGCAAAATACTGAAGAAGATTAGCGACAATGCTTATGTGGTTGACCTTCCTACAGATTTGGGTATTTCTCCTAGTTTCAATGTTGCAGATTTGTTTGAGTATTACCCACCATAAGAAACAGCTATTCATGCAAGTGTAAGCTCGGGGTCGAGCTCTTTTCAAGCAGGGGGGACTGATGTAGAACACTTAGCAGACACGTTTATGTCAAAGTGGGACAGTCGCAAGCCCAAATATGACCTGGTCGAAGAAAATAACTTGTTTCGAAGAAACGGCCGTAACTTTCAAACCGTACGTCGGAATTGGACGAATTATATATGAAAATCGACTATCTCGACGAGACAGAGCCATCCAAACCTACCCCTCCGGGTTTGGTTTGCATTCTCAGCTTCACCAAATTCCTTACGGTTTGAGAGATATTTGCATTTTTATCCGTTTTTACTATTTTTAGTAATATTTTAGGAGTCTGTTTTGTTTAGGAAACAAATCCGATTTGATCTCAGATTTGACCGAAGGACTTTCCTAATCATAAGGAGTCCTTTTAGGAGTTTTAATGTTTTAGGAATTCTTTATCATTTTTGGTAAGTTGAGAGTCCTTGTAGGAATTAGAGTCCTTGTATGAGTCTTGTTTCTTTTTTTATTTAAGAAGAGTCTTGTAAGCCCTAGAGGCATAACTTTTGATTAATAAAATTTTGTTTTTCCTCAATATTTCTTCGTGGATTCGAAGCTCTTCGTGGATTCGAAGATTGTTCTTTGTGGATTCAGAGAACACACTTGGTGGATTCCGAGGTTATCACTTCCGCGCTGCGTCATATATGTATTATGTAAATACACTTTAATAAGCTAGTGTTGAGTCTTTGAAAGGAGAATTTTTTAAAAAAAGATCATTTTTAGAAAATAATTAGCAATATCGATCTTTTTGCTAAATAATTAGCAAGGTCGATCCCTTTTTGACCAGCTCACAAGACTGGCCAAAAAGAGATCGATTTTACAAAATTTGATCTTGAAAACACACATGACTACTAGTGTTGTGTATTTAGTGCTGACTAATCAGCCGGTAATATGGCGCAGAAAACTCACGGGACTAGAAGTCCTGTGAGTTTTCTGTACAATAGCAGAAAACACATGAGACTCTAGTCCCATGCCTTTTCTGAATAGTCTCAGAAAACATACGAGACTTGTAGTCTCTTGTATTTTACAGAAAGCCGAGAACATGCACAAAATATGCACGCTTCTATTCTACGTATATACAATATTTCATGTGCACAGAAAATTTAAATTCCCCTCATATATATATCTAAACAGCATAATCCCTATATAACCTATAAATTTCAAGAAATAAACATAACTTAAAACACGTATAATCAATCTAAAACATCACAACACAATAGATAATAGCCCACAACAACACATTTTATATCCATACGCTAAAATATTGCCACAAATATAAATATATCAAGTATATTTATTTACAAATAGAGTCCCTACAGAAAATCCATTAAACTATCACATACAACCTAGAAGTCCACCCCTTCCTTTGTCTCCCTCTTCAAACCCTCGCAAATCGTCGTCGTCCTCTATTGACTTGAGCTTGTGTAAGCTTGCTCTCCAGTTGCATGTATGGTTGTGACGGACCACCTTCATTGTTGTGCGTACAAGATCTATCTCGTCTTCGTCTATCTGGTTGGCATGCATATAAAAGATCCTCCCCTTGCACCATCTCCTTGCGACCATCATGAAGATCCTCATGAGTTCGATGAAAAGCTATACGAACCCTCCGCACTATTTGCTGATACAATAATACATGTACATTGGATCTATTTCTACAACAGAAAGTGCGAGACTGTCATTTGCAATGTTGTCAATATCATCCATAGCATCTATCTGCAATTACGTAAAAAAAGTTTGTGTGTGTATGAGTGTGTGTATATATATAAGCAAACTGTAGTAACACCAAATAAAGACCTCTAGATTATTGTGCCACCCAAACAAATATTTCTTGCATAAATATCACTTTTCTATGGCTTTATTTTCTTTATAATATAATTACAATCCATATTCATATGAGTGATCATATTTTTCTTCTGTCAGGAAGTGCTGAGGGACAAATGAGGACCTTTTACTTGAAATGCCTAACCAATCTTATGCAAGAGAGTGTCCTTCTAATAACTAAGTGAGATAAACATGTAGCTCCTGATATTACATGCTGGATTTCTGTGAAAGAAGGTAATGTTGAATGGAAAATGGATATATAGTAATTTATATAATTTACAAATTATATTTTGTATTTTGAAAGGTTCCTTCACATTGATTAAGTTGCTAAGTATCTACAAACCATGTAGAGCTTAATCTATAAACATTGAATTAATATAACTTGACTTTAAGAATGTTGCATGGATAAAAAAAAACTAGTAAGGGATGGACAACTATCTGCAATTATATAAAAAAGGTGTGTGTGTGTGTGTATGTGTGTGTGTGTATGAGAAATATGGAGAACCTTGGTACCAAGTTTCTCTATTGAACTTGGTAGTGACGTGACCAGATCTGGCCCCTACATCACGCCTTGAAGATAGAGCCTAAATTACTATTTATCTTCTCTAAAAAAGAGGCTCCATTTTCGAGGTGTGATGTAGGGGCCAGATTTGGCCACCTCACTACCAAGTTCAATGAAAAAACTTTGTATCAAGGTTCTCCATATTTCTCATATATGTGTGTGTGTGTGTGTGTGTGTGTGTGTGTGTGTGTGTGTGTGTCTAGGGCACGTTGTTCGTGTTCATCGACTAGAGCTGTGGTCTGATTTACTATACATCTTCTAGTAATCCCCCAATACCATCTCATATAATCTGATTCCTACATAGAATGATCAATATGCTCCATGCTATTAAAATGTGAATCTGTCCATCTATGTATATACTAATGATGCGCATTTTCCCAGTTTATCTAATTCCCATCTTTGTTAGCCTTTCTCTCTATTCTTTTAACTTCTTGTGAAACGTACTGTGCCAAACCAAATTGTCTAAGCACGTGATCTGCATATGCATCTCAACAATCTCAAA